TTTGATTCTCACGTCCTTGGTTCGCCCTCTTCCTCCAGAACAACAGTACGGGTCCCAAGAGCGTCGGTTAAACCCACAGTTGTCAACTTCTAGTAAAGCCGCTACTCAAAAGGATACATCAGTGACTTGATAATGCAGCTGCAGGGTATTTAGGTCACCCACTCCTTTTCGGTACGCAATTGTTGTTTGGACCGAAGACCGCATTTCTTTTCGACTACCTCTGCAAGGACATAAAACTGCGATGCGGGTGTCGCAACACATGAAGGCATTGTTCGTCAGAGCTTCCAACTTATAGCTTGTCATCTTCGCCTAGGTAAACAAATAACATTGTTTCTCTCACAAGTCTCCCTTCTTGCTACGTCACGGAACGACATACAGGTAGCGCTCATATTTTACGTATCGTTCATTTCTAAAAAGTCCAGGACCCACCAAAAATGTCATATTGCCTATCGATCCCCCAGAAGTATCAATGCAGCGAATATGGGTAGTGTCTCGATATATGCAAGCTGAGGGTAAACTATCATACGTTACTGCACCTCCTCCCTCCCATCCGCTAAGGCTTGGCTCCCTCCTGCGCGGCTCGCTCCCCGCCCCATCCGCTCGCTCGGCGCTCACTCGGCACCGACCGATCCCAGAGCAGAAGGCTGCCGCGCGCGCGTCAAGCGGACGTACTCGCTCCCTGATCCCCGCGCCGCCCGGTCCGCGCTGTCACTGTTCTCACAGGAATTAGGCGTCTGTCACGGCGAATAATCGCATTAAAAACCGTCTGAGACAGGCCGGATTGGGGCGGCGCCCGCCTGAGTGGCGCAGGGGGAAACGCACCCACCTGGTGCTGGCGTCATGCGCCTGGGTGCAGGCGGCGGGCCAGCCGCCCACACCTGGGTCAGTCTCACAACGGGCCGGCGCCGCTGCTGGGTACGCTCGAGGGACGGCCAGATGCGCGCGCGTCTTTGCAGGAGCATGTTGGTGTGACGGGCAGCAAATTCCAGCAGCTTGAAAGCTGTTGTGATAATTTCTATCTTGTAAGGAATAAAAAGGGCACATTTCGCACCTCATCTCGCGCAGTGCTGTGCTGAAATGAGGCCAAAATGCACTACTGGCTAGGACATGGTCTACTATATACTCTGCATATATACCTGACATTGGGCCTCAAGGGCATCCCTAGATTTGTGAAAGAATTCGGTGTTTTAACTCGTGTATTGGACACCTTTTAGATGATGTGAGCACTACAGAAGTACGTTTGTCACTGTGCTCTACGCTGGCCTCGAAACTGTTAACCATCACTGTCCCCTCTCATGCGAAAGCATCGGGTTTCGGTGCAGCCTCTGGCGGCAAACCTTTGCATTATTGTAAATATGTACATTGAACATTTTGGGAGCGCCCGATTCCCGATCAGCCTTACCGTTGTGAAGGAGCAGTGATGTGGACAACTTTATAACTCACTCCTTTACACGTTGGTAACTTGACGCCGGACCTTTTACGGTACTTGAACGCCCACTGTGCGGAAGGGCTGAGGACCACTCTCCGCAACGATCAGCGCGCTAGCTCCGGAAACAGCGATCAATCGCCAAAGCTTGAGCTTGGATTAACGATACGTTATGAGGGCTCCCAGCGCACGGCAGTCCGTCGCTGCTGAAGGCCCGTGAGATCTCTGATGCCCAACCATGTGCCTTCATCATATCGGAGTCATCTCTTTGGATGTAAGGTCCGAGTTTTAAATATTTTTGTTTCCCTACCTAGAATAAATCCATGTTTGCATCGAAACATCCAGACGCCAACCTCATTGACACAAAGTTAATGTGACCACAGAGTTAGTCGCAATGACATGGTATGGTGCCGCAGTGTAGAAAAAAAGGAGAGAAAAGAGAGAGAGAGAGAGAGAGAGAGAGAGAGAGAGAGAGAGAGAGAGAGAGAGAGAGAGAGAGAGAGAGAGAGAGAGAGAGAAGAGAGAGAGAGAGAGAGAGAGAGAGAGAGAGAGAGAGAGAGAGAGAGAGAGAGAGAGAGAGAGAGAGAGAGAGAGAGAGAGAAGAGAGAGAGAGAGAAGAGAGAGAGAGAGAGAGAGAGAGAGAGAGAGAGAGAGAGAGAGAGAGAGAGAGAGAGAGAGAGAGAGAGAGAGAGAGAGAGAGAGAGAGAGAGAGAAGAGAGAGAGAGAGAGAGAGAGAGAGAGAGAGAGAGAGAGAGAGAGAGAGAGAGAGAGAGAGAGAGAGAGAGAGAGAGAGAGAGAGAGAGAGAGAGAGAGAGAGAGAGCGAGCGAGATAGAGAGAGAGAGAGAGAGAGAAAGAGAGAGAGAGAGAGAGAGATAAAGAAGAGAGAGAGAGAGAGAGAGAGAGAGAAGAGAGGAGGAGAAGAGAGAGAGAAGGAATAGAGAGGAGAGAGAGAGAGAGCGAGAGAGAGGAGGAGAGAGAGGAGAGAAGACAAGCGAGACAGGGGTAAAGCAGGGAGAAATGAGAAAGAAAGGCCAGGATGAACAGATGATGGCGGGAGAGAGAGTGAGGCAAAGAGCAGAGAGGGAAAGAACAGATAACACACATACAAATGTCTCGAAATAAAACAAAACAGAAAATCGGTCATCACCCGGACATCCGCTACCGAGTGCACCGATCGACCTCCGGGTGGGAAGGGGGCGGCGGCGCCGAGGAATCTCTCCCGTTTGCGTCCGCCGCTGGGGAGGCGGGGAGGAGCGGGCGGGCGGGGCGCGGTGGGTGAGATCTCTCTCCTGTTTGTGTCGGCTGCCGGCGCGGCCGCGGCTGCCGCTGACGGCAGGAAGATGACGCCTCTCTCAGAAGCGACGCTTTTTTGCGGGAGTTTTCAAATTTTCCTGGTGTCGCGAGCAGCTGGCGGCCGCTCCGGCCGAACATCAAAAATACATTTTGTGCAATTTGGCAGCAATTTGGCAGCATGTGGAGGGCAGATGTGCGCCGCTGTCGAGACGGCGGTGACGCGTCGGAACAGCTGGGGTCGCAACAGACGCTCCGGAGCCGGGGGGCGGCGTACAGAGGGAGCCGAGGGTCAGATAAGTCAGAGAAAGGCTTGTAATATCGACTAGAGGATCATATCGGCCACGTGTCACGCTCAGAAAAGTATGTTTTGCTGTTAGCACGCCGTGCAGTCTTGTTCCCGAATGTACTTGTTATGACGCGGTCTCATAAGCTCTTAATGTTGCGTGTCCGGGTAGCATGGATGTCAAAATGTCCCTTCCCGCACTTCTAAATCACGTTTTTTAACGGTCCCACCCATCGTGAACATATGGAGGGGATCGACTTGGACGGATGGTTTGTCCAACCACACAAATTTTCACGGGGGAATTTCACGTACTTCCTGAGCCTCGCAACATACATGCTTCAATAAAATAATGGCAACCCACGATGCTTCATAACAGTTCACGGGTGAAGAAAAACGTAAAGAATCGGCTGGTGACGGCTTAAGCGAAGAGAACAAATCTCTTAAGTGCCTGGGGGCTACAATGAGCTGTGAAGGCTGCAACTGTGCACAAACAGACCTAATTTCAAATTGAAGCCTAGGAGACCGGTGGGCCGGTAAAAGAAAATCGGTAGAGGAAACCGGTGGACCGAAAAGACCCACTCATTTTAATATCATTATCAGTGCCACGCACAGCTTCCCTCCTAAGGCCACGCACGTCTCTGATAACTTTTGTTTGTTTGCAATCCTTCTCCCGGCCAGCCTCGGCAGCGACGATTAATAATAATCTCGCACGCCACGCGCCAACGGCAGCGAATTCGAATTAAAGCGCGACCCCAGGCGAGCGACACATTTTCCGGAGGAGACCAAGACAGACGCGACCCTCTCCGGAGCGTGGCTGGTGAGTCAGGCGGCAGCCTGCGCCGTACAAGTGTGCACCTGCGCCGGCGCCAGCAGCTGTATCGCCGGTCGTCTTTGTGGGTGCGGTGCACGATGACGACAACTCCCCCCCACGAGACACACGTGGGCCACACCTGTGCCGATGGCAGCCTCCTGGGAGACCGCGACCGGTGGAGGACAGCAGTGGGTCTGAGGGAGGCAAGGATGGATCGAAAGAGGGATAAACTACACAAAGGTGGAAATGAGAGTTCAAATGTGAGTACGGAGAGACAGCAGGATAGGGGAGGTAGAAGGCAAGGACGAACCGGGGAGGGAAATGAGACGAGGGTAGTAGTGGACGGGGGTGGGTAAAGTTGGCGTGACACAACGGGCACGTTTCCATGAGAGAAAGTCAACAGCGTAATCAGTCCAATGAAAGTTGATGTGGTCGCCACCGCTCCCGCAATATCCAAATTCTCCACTAATAGACTACGGGAATATGATTGACCGTAGGACTAGAATTGACTGAGCGGCAGAGACAGACAGTTAATCAGAGAAACAGTTTAAACGAGCCCGCATGCAATGATGATCCGGGAACAGGGGTGAATGGAGGAGCCTGCTGACTAGCCAGGGGCAGTGGGGCGGACCGGGGGTCTGGGGTGTGGCCCGGTGGCCAGGCACTGGCGCAGCTCTGACTTCTCCGGCCAGAGCTGGTAACGACGCAGGAGGAACAGGACTCTGCCCGGGGCGTCTCTCCCGGATGGGCCCTTGGTGACGACCGCAACTTCGGCCGTGCCCGTTCCAACTCCACTGTTTGGCAAACTTGGCTCATAAGCGAACGTCAGGTCGCCACAAAGAGGATTCGCGAGTGCTTAGAATGCATGGTTACCACCGTCGAAACGGAACTTAAGACCACGTGGTGAAAATAAACAAAGCGGAGCGGGCTTAGTGGAAGCAGATACCTGTGCGGCGAAAATGAGCAGGGGCCCTCTCACGGTCCATCAACGCGGCGCTGGTGAAAACGAAGAACCTACAGACAGTGGGCAGCTGATGACGCCAATAACGTCATTGCATTTAACTTCTCCTCCCAAAACTACAGAACATGCGAGCTCATCGGAGCCATCGCTCTGCTGACGTAAACAGTACGCCGGCTGTTGCCTCGTCCTGACCAGTCTCGCTCCTCTCTGGCCCACGTGACCCACCTCTGCTCCTGTGCCGGTGCTGGTCGGTGGTGATGACCGAGCTAGGCTTCATCCTCAGTTCCGGGTCCTCCTTCACCTTGACATTCTCCATTTGGCCTGCGAAATGAAGAACTGTTCGTATTATCTGCGAGAAGCTGACACGCTGAAAATACAACGAGTATCACACTACCACCAGTGCAGAGTATGCCTAACCGGTCCTGGAGACAGGCTCACTCATGCCCGAGGCCAAAATAACTTTAAGGTACTGAAAATGGTGGATTACACTAATTGTGCAACAGGCTTGAGCGAATCTACAAGCAAAATGAGAAAGAACGTTGACCATATGTGCCAACCATTCACGCTCCCCAAAGTGAGTCTGCGTTCGGCCCCACACAATTGCTTTGTTTTCACGGGTTTCACATTTGTTTTTTTAGATTCACCTACAACTTCAACACTGTCACTTCTCCGGCCGGTGTCCTTCACGAATGCCCCGGATGTAGTGAAGCTCAGCGCTGGTGGCGATCGTAACTTTTCGTCGCCACAGGTGAAACATCGATACCCAGAAAACCATGGAATTCCTCAAAGCCCCGCGCCCCTGTCCAGCTCACCATAGACTGTCCCGCCAGACAGCAATGTAGTGCGGTATAGTCTATAGAACCGTGGACGTGCGGCCTAGCGACAGGAAAACAAAACGGCCGTAAGGGGAAGCGCTACTCGCGGTGTGAGGTTCATGGCCCCAGGACTGCGGCATGTAGCGTGGATGGCGGATACAACCGTAAGGGGAGGCGCTACTCGCGGTGTGAGGTTCATGGCCCCAGGACTGCGGCATGTAGCGTGGATGGCGGATACAACCGTAAGGGGAGGCGCTACTCGCGGTGTGAAGTTCATGGCCCCAGGACTGCGGCATGTAGCGTGGATGGCGGATACAACCGTAAGGGGAGTGCTACTCGCGGTGTGAAGTTCATGGCCCCAGGACTGCGGTATGTAGCGTGGATGACGGATACAACCGTAAGGGGAGTGCTACTCGCGGTGTGAAGTCATGGCCCCAGGACTGCGGTATGTAGCGTGGATGGGCGGATACAACCGTAAGGGGAGTGCTACTTCGCGGTGTGAGGTTCATGGCCCCAGGACTGCGGTATGTAGCGTGGATGGCGGGATACAGCCCGTAAGGGGAGTGCTACTCGCGGTGTGAGGTTCATGGCCCCAGGACTGCGGTATGTAGCGTGGATGGCGGATACAACCGTAAGGGGAGTGCTACTCGCGGTGTGAAGTTCATGGCCCCAGGACTGCGGTATGTAGCGTGGATGACGGATACAACCGTAAGGGGAGTGCTACTCGCGGTTGTGAAGTCATGGCCCCAGGACTGCGGTATGTAGCGTGGATGGCGGATACAACCGTAAGGGGAGTGCTACTCGCGGTGTGAAGTTCCATGGCCCCAGGACTGCGGTATGTAGCGTGGATGGCGGATAAGCCTTCCAAATTGCAAAACTATGTGAGATACGACGAGGCTTCCTATACCAGAAACATATGCATATACATATGCAGAATGACATTCTTTCCCGCATGCCCTCATAACGTTAATGCAAAAGGAGACGATCGATCACAATCCAATAATATTAGGGTTTCCATTGAGATTTGGTATCCTCGCATGGCGTCCGACGAACGCAAACGTTGGAAATTTGGCAGCCATATTCCGCGCCCCACCCGTTCACTGTTGTGCAATGGCTCACCCAACATTTCGCCCAGGGCGTAAACCCCACCAAGGTAGTTCTGAATTTGGAAGCGAGCCCGGCAAGAGACTCAACCACTGTGACTTCAGCCCCAGGGGTCCACGGCTTCCAAGGGGAGCGACGGCCCCCAGACTCCTCTGGGTCCGAACCCATCATGACCGGCTGGATGCACGCTCCTTTCAAACGGAGCGGCCCCGCCGGGACCGGCTCTAACCGTCTCCACTAGCAGCCTTTCGATTTCCTCCGCCATTTTTCAGCCTGGAAACACAATTGCGGCGGTCGCATCTGGCTGGGCCACAGGGGCGTTCCATCTGGCAACGATCGGGTCCGGCGGCAGCAGATGCTCCGTCTCCCCCCCTGCCCCCCTCCCCCCCCCCGCCCGCCCGGCACACCGGAACGACACCCGTTCGGTCTCTGCCCCACGGGGCATCAGCTGGCAACGCCGTCTGATTAGATGAGTTGCCATGACAACGGCCCGGCACGTGCAGCTGAGCACCGTGCAACATCTGGCCGCGCGGCGCCGGCCGTGATGACGTCACGGCGGATTATCCGCCGGTCGGCTGGGTGACCGGCGACCGGGCCGAGCAACAGGTCAGCAGGGATGGGTCACTGAAGCACGGGTCAGACGGCTGGCCGGAAGGTGGCAGGTCAGACGAGTGCAGCACAGTGGACAAAACGAGTGGATTTAGTTCTTTTTGCATGCACGGGGGTCGGCCACAATGGGATACGTTATGTGACGCGATCGAGAATGGGCACGTGAGGGGCGGGTGGGCCGCGGGGAGCAGCTCAGGTGAGAAAAATAAGAGAGGACGGGTGAGAAACGCAGAATTAATGCGGCGGTCGGATAGGAGAAAAGTGATATGAGAACGTGTCAAATGAGCCCAAGTAGGGGAGTAAACTGTAAGGCAGCACGTAATTATGTCAACTATTTTATGATCCGTCCATCCACATTTCGTCCGTTCGGCCACCTGCCTTCTGACTCACTCACCAGTGGCGGGCTGGGTTCAAGTCGCTTTAGGCACTTGCTATTTCCCCTCACTGGCATGGCCGGCGGCCGCTGGCAGCGGCCACGCTAAAGGTCAGGTGACATCAGAAGGCAGGGAGGCCCGTGCCAAGCATCGGGGCATATTACGCTTTCGCCCACAAATTTTTGCCATTGATCCGGAATTTCGCGATTGACTGGCCGGCATCGGATGCCAGAAATCACGCGCCAAGCGCTGCCTGACGTGGGCGTCAATATCAAACATCCATGCATTATAGCAATCGGACTCGATCTTTAACAAGAGCAGCGCGGACTAGCCAGCCACGTGACTGCTGTGTGCAGCAGCCCTGGAGCGCAGACACGCCGCCGGACATACCATCCCATGTTGATAAACACTGCTACATCACGCCTAGATATTAGTCTCAGAGACTTCAGCCGCAAAGAGAGAGTTGGAGGGACCGCCCGGACGCGCCGCCGCCGCCAGCGCGCACCTGACGCCAGTCGATCCTGAATACCAGACTTAGACGACAAAAGGCATGGCCGTGTTGTTCTGTAGGACGGACGCGTTTCTCTCCGTGGCCCCGGCGCTGCCGACAGCGCCACACTATCGCGCCAATGTCGCGGTCGTAATCGCCAGCCGCGCCGCCGCTGGAGTACCGGCAGTACATCCCCGACCACACTGCCGGCGTCGACAACCAGCTCCGTCGTCCCACCCCCCTCCCCCTCCCCCTCCCCCCCGCCCCGATGACGGACTGACCGGCCGGACGCCGGAGGGTCTTGTAGTTACGTCCCACGTCCCGTGGCGCTGCCCTCCGCCCGTACCCCCCCACCCGCCCCCCCGCCCAAACGCCAGCGACCCGGTGGCAGGACGTCTCCGCGCGGGGGGGCGGCTGGGTTACATATTTATACACCGGTTCAGTATCAGAGGAGCTGGCTCGGACACGAATAGCACCCAACCCACCTGGTCCCCGCCGAACACCTGCAGCGGCGCCGTCATTTGGCCGGGCGGTCGCCCGCCCTGCCCCAACCCCTGCGGGACCACCAAACGATTTGGCCAGGGTAGGGTCCTCCTTCCTTGCGCACCAAACCAGCACGTGGTGGCGGACAACCACGGGGCACGCCTTTGATCAGCCAGTGTCCACAGCCGCACGTCTCGCATGTGGTGGTAAGTGTGTAGTCAGGGTAGGTCCTCCACGCGCCCAAACAGGCGCGTGGGTGGCAGGCGCTACGGGGCACGCCTTTGGATCAGCCAGTGTCCACAGCCGCACGTCTGCATTGTAGTGGTAAGGTGTAGTCAGGGTAGGCCCTCCACGCGCCCAAACGAGCGCGTGGATGGCAGGCGCTACGGAGTCCTCTCGACATCGACATCGACTCGACTCGACATCGACAGACGCGCTGATACGATGCCTCTGACCGGCCGGTTGTTCATAGACACACTACTACTGCATGCAGTGGCAAGTGTGTAGTAAGTGCGTATTACATGATGCGAGTCGAACTTGAGTGTTGTCGGCCTGTGTCCCAGTGTTTTTCTTGCCAAAGTTATGGCCCCTAGGCGCAGCCAGGACAACTGAAAAGAGCAAGCTTGAGCAAAATATTTGTGATGCGAGCACCAATTTGTTTGACGTAACGCATCTATTCTGAGGTCAATTATTACAACAGAACTCGCGCATTTACATGTAGATGCAACATCGATTTTGAAACCAGCATAATTGCCTCTCACGTGTCTACTAGCTCGCGTGATCGTGTCCTGGTACGCGCTACAAATTGGTATGTAGCAGAGGCGGCGGTGAGTTCCATAACGTAAACATAAACTGAAAGCTGTTCAAAACGGCAAGATCCGGTACATAACAAATCAGAACATGCACCTGAGCCCCTACAGGCGCGTACATCACATGCATATAATGAATGAGCACCTGGTGAGGCAAATGCTACACACCTGCTCACAACGTCTACTACATATAGATGATTACACAAACAAAGAGCCCGACTTGCAGCGCGCTAACACATGGCTGAACGAGTGTGACCATGCCACCAGCATGAGCCTCTGACCATGCCACCAACATGAGCCCCCCATCTCCCCGTGTTATCCGACACCCGGTTCCTGATGCCCAGAGCTGGGCCACAACATTCCAACGGCACTATCATAACGTTGCCGCCGACTGGGCAAGGGCTCTCTGGCATCTGACACGTGCCCGATCAGCACACGGTGGCCGGGAACGAGAGCCGGGTCGCACAAACTCGGGCGACACAGAACGAACGTCCGGAGGCAGCTGTCGTCGGCGCGTCGGTGCGCAGCGTTGCTGGCTGGCATAACCGCACTGCCGCGCAGAGCGGCTCAGTGCGTCCAAATGACGTCACAGAAAGACGACCATGCAGCGCCCGCCAGTCGGAGTCATTCGTTGCTGGCCGAAATTCT